AATGGCTGCCAGATAAATAAAAACAATCTATTTTTAAAACTATGAAACTCATTTACTCACTACCTGGATTTAACAGATGTTAGCATTTTATCATTGTTTTAAAGGAAGTTGTAGTAGGTAGAATTCTGAAATACCCTCTGATATCCCCACTCCCTGTGTACATACCTTGTACAATCCCCTCCCCCGGAGTGCAGGCAGAACCTGTGAATATGGTAGAACGTCACTCCTCTGATCATGTCATTTTTCTGTCAAATTTTTGAGGTGTGATCAAGGCCCCTTATCAGTTGACTTTTAGTTAAAAATGTAGGATTGATCCAGACAAGCCTGACCTAATCAGATGAGCCTTTAAAAGAGATCAGAAACAGACCTGGCCGGTTTGGCTCAGGGATTAGCGCGTCGGCCCTCAGACCAATGAGTTGCGGGTTCGATTCCAGTCAAGGGCACTACTTTGGTTGCAGTTCATCCCCAGCCCTGAGGGTCATATGGGAGTCAGCCAGTGGATGTCTCTCTCTCACACTGATATTTCTCTCCCTCTCTCTGTCTCCCACTCCCTCCCACTCTATCTGATAATAAATAGAAAAATATCCTCAGGAGAGGATTAAAAAAAAAACAAATTTTAGAGATCAGATGCCATCCAGCTGCCTTTGAAGGGGTGGGCAGCGTTGGTGGAGAGGGCCACGCGGCACGGACCTGCAGGTATACTGGAGTAGCTGAGAGCAGGACCTGTCCATCAGATAGCAAGCAGATGGGGACTGCGGTCACGTAGCCACAAGGAAACGAATCTGCCACCACCCCAGGGGAGCTTGGAGGCAGCCCTTCCCGAGCCCAGCCTTTGGATGGGGGCACTCAGCCAGTGTCCTGGTTGCCGCCTGTGGCACCTTGAGCAGAGGGCCCCGCTGCGGTTAGCTGGATTCCTGGCCCATGGGAATCGTGAGATAACAAACCGGTACGTCTCACACCAACTTCATGGTAATTTGTGGTAGAGCAGTAGAAAGCAGACACCGAACACAATGGTACCCACAGCTGAAGCCGTGCCCACCTTCCCTTTCCCTGCTCTCTCGTCCCAGGTGCAGTTAGGGTCAGCTGAAAACAACTCTGTTGAAATTGGTGTCTTTTTTCCATTTGGTTTCATTTTTTTCCTGAGTTTGTATTTATCCATTGTGGTAGTTGGAAAATGTGTCCACATATTCGTTGACCCTCCTGCCTTTGAAAGGTGGAGACTTACTCCTTTCCCCTTAAGTGAGGGCTGGACTCAGTGAGTCAGTTCTAGTAGATAACATAGTGGGCGTGATAGTTCTCAATTCTGAAAGTAGCATATGGTGAAAGCGACGGTGTGTGACTTCTAAGTTACAAAGGCACAGTGGCTGCTTCTCCTGCTTGCTCTGTGGGGGAAGCCAGCTGTCACGTGACACTCCGGCAGCCCCGTGGACAGGTCCGTGTAGCGAAGAACTGAAGCCTCCTGCTACAGCCACGTGAGTGAGCCGTCGGGTGAAGCGATCCTTCGGCCCCAGTCAAGCCTTCAGATGCCTGCAGCCTCGGCCAGCATTTTGATTGAGAAATCAGTCATGAGAAGCTCTGAGCCAGAGCCACATGGCTGAGCTCCTTCTGAATGCCTGACCCACAAAAACTGGGAGATGTTAAATCTTTATTGGTTTAAGCCTCTGAGTTTTAGGACAATCACTTATGCATCAGTAGATAACGAATACATTCATATCTGGCATTATTCTGTGTATGCAGAAGCTCACACCCATTAGTGACCAAAAGAAGCTGGATATAGAATATATACTGTGTGATTCTATGTATGGAAAGTAAAAACAGGCAAAACGGACCTCTGATTAGAAATTAGGATAGTGGTTGCTCTTATGGGAATTAGGGTTTCAAGGCAGACTTTGTGGGCTGGTTACAGGGTATATTAATGTTTGAAATTTATTAAGCTATCTGCCTATGAATGATATGTGTATATCATGCATGCACATACAATATTTGTATACTTCTTTGTATATAATACTTTTTTTCCAGGGAGTTCTGTATATAACATTTTAATAAAGTTTTAAAATATGTGTATACATGACATTTTCTTTTATCCTTTGTAACCTGTCATTTGAGATTTGTTCATGTAGATCCATGCCTTTGGAATTTACTTTTCTTGTAAGATGACTTGTTTTCTAGAAAGTCGACTTTTCTCTCTTCGTTCACCTACAGCCTTATATTAAGATCCATTTTTTGAGTCTCCTATAACTCTCTCAGTGGACCCGAGTCTACAGTCATCTCTTCCCTTAGAATTCACATAGCACTAACCAGCAGTGTTATGCATTTGATAGTTTTCATACATTATGTTTTACTATGAGGACACGTTCACTTGATAAAATAATATCCTCACCCTGGCCAGTGCAACTCAGTTGGTTGGAGCATCATCCTGTACCCTGAAAGGTCACGGGTTCGATCCCTGGTCAGGGCACTTACCCAGGTTTTGGGTTTGGTCCTTGGTCAGGGTGCATAAGGGAGGAAGCTGGTGGATGTTTCTCTCTCCCTCTCCCTTCCTCTCTCTCCAAAGTCAATAAAAACATATCCTTGGGTGAGGATTAAAATTAATAATAATAATAATAATAATAATATCCTCAGTCACATTATAAACTCCCAGTCAGCAGAAGCTCTGTTTTAAAATTGCTAAAAGACAGGTTTCAGTTTCATCCCTAGGGCGTGGATATGTATTTTACCCCTAGATGCCGGAACTCTCCCTACCCACGGTCTTCATTGGTATCCTGCTGAGGATTCTGTCCTATAACATTGCTGCTTCAGGGTTATAAGTTTATAAAGTGAGGGAACTAGGAGCCTCAATACTCATGATGAGGTTCTGTTGTGGGGGCTGGCACAGAAGGGACAGACTCAGTCTTTATTCTGCCCCCTTATCATTTCTGTCACGGTCTTCCTCTGGAGGGCTGTCTTGAAAGGAGCAGTTTCGTGGCCTTGTCCTTGGTGCCTGTATTCCTGACTCGGTGTGAAAGCGGAACGCAGGCCAGTCTCCTCGCGTTTCCGAGATAAGGAGCCGCTGTCTTCGATCAGACCGTCCACGCAGCACGCTACAGGAGTGCAGTGTGACTATGTGAGGAATCGTCTCTTTTTGTAAATATCTATGATTCCTCCATTTCTGAATCAGAAAAAATTTTCCGCAGCTTTTTGGAGGAGATATAGTCTTTAAATTTACTATTTATTCTGAAAAATCACTATTTTTAAACTTGTCCTAAATTATTTTCACTTCGCAACAGTCTTTATCAAATCTATAAAATTTGCCAAATTGCCATAAAAACATGGATGTATTAATTTATAATTTACAGTACTGCATAAGAGGAATACCCTTGCCAGCACTTGATATTTTCCAGCTTTTCATTTTTACCAGTCTGGTGGAGAGAACAGCTTTTCTTTGTCTAATTTGTAATTCCCTGAGCACTGATGAGGTGAAATGGTCGTCCACACGTTTACTGACCAATTGTCTTTACCATGTGTTGCTTGCTCATCTTTCTGATTGGGAAGAATTCTTTAACTGTTTGGTGTTTTAATCCCTAGCCTCTTACATAGTTTATAAACATTCTTCCAATGTGTTAATTATATTTAACTTTGTTTATATTGGGTTTTCTTCTGTATAAATTGCTTAGTTTGAGGAAGTCTCATTTGTTTTCCTTTTAAACATGCTTTCTTTTTCAGGAAGTCTTTGCTACCCCAGGTTTATAAACATCGTCTCCCGTATTTTCTTCTATTATTTCTATTATTTTCTTTTGTACATTTATTTCTCCAACCCATCTATATGTGGATCTTTATTCCACATATAATTCTTTTCCACCTTGTAATAATTATACATGCTTGCATAGACAACTGTGTATTTTTCTAAATGGCTAACCACTATCCCATTATGAATTATGAACAGTTAATCATTTCTCTTTTGATTTGAAATACCACTTGTTCACTTACTGGATTGTGTTCTATAAATTGTCATAACTCGAGATTCTAACCTGTTCTACTGATATATTTTTCTTATCCTATGCCAACACCACACTGCTTGCTTTGGTTTCTGTGTTTTTATAGCTGAGTGTGTGATACTGCTCCTGGCTGGACATACACAGTTTGTATCATTTCCTTATTCTAGCTTTCAGTTCCTCCTCCCTTTTATATCTAATGGCAACTAGCTTTCTTTTCAATGACGTATTTTAAATGCATTTCCATGTTTAAGCAATGGACAAGACCCAGACCAGGGCGAGACAAGTGGAGTGCCCAGGGCACATTGAAGAGGAACTTACTCCTCGGGTCATGCAATACCTTTCCAGTTCCTGACACTCTTTTCTGCGGTGGCTCAAGTCACGGTTAATCCTTAGCAAATGCGTTGTTTCGATCAGCTGGTGTCAGTGTTTCAGGAGAACCAAGCATCTTGAGCAACCTCAGAGTGTCCTCGGTTTTGCCAGCATGGCTTTTGCCATGCCCCTCCCATGATTTGTGTCACCAAGAAAAGAAGTTGACGGACTCAGAGGACAACCTGCAGAGCACGGTGCACGGAAGCCAAGCAGAGAACCCTTCAGGGAGCGCATCGTCAGCTGCTAAGCGATCGAGAGAGATCGGGTCCCAAAGGTGCCTATTGGATGACTGCTCTCAGGAAGAACATTTCCATTCCTGTAGCCATCCCTTCTTGTCTGATCCTCTTGCCTTCACCCCAGCCTAGGCCTATTAAGAAAATCCTGACTGGTTTCTGTTCTAGTGTCTTTTCTTGGTATCTGTGTAACTGGGTCTTTTGTGATATTGTTCTTAAATGGAAAAATATTTCTTCTTTCCAGCCTCAGTTAAAATGGGAATTTAAGCTATATTTTCTTCCAGTGATACAGTCTGTGTAAACTTTCAGTGTTAATTGCCATTTAAATTTTTTCTCTATGTAGAAATATTTTGAATATTATATATACCCTTAGGTGATGCCCATCTTTACACTTACATTGGATCTTGTTTTAATGTTCCAAACCAGAACCCACAGATGATGATGTGGTAAGACATATTATCAGGCTAAGAGAAAAGTTGGGCTGGCAAACATTACCATACCGTAATCTGGAATACAGGAGTTTCAAAACTACAGCTCAGAAGATTATTCTAAAGGTATTCATTTTATTCACTTTTGTGCTATAAAAATTAATATTTAAAACTGTATCTTAGTCTTTTTTTTTTTTTTTTATCCTCACCCGAGGACATTCTTCCATCCTTTGTACAGACAGAGTGGGAGGGAGAGAGAGCAAGAGAGAGAGAGGGAAACATCGACGTGAAAGGGACACACCGAGTGGCCGCCACCCACACGACCAACCAGGGCCGGGAACAAACTGCAACCGAGGTACATGCCCTTAGTGGGAACCGAACCCGGGTCTCTCCGGACCGCAGGTGGACGCTCTAACCGCTGAGCCAAACCGGCCAGGGCTGTATCTTAGTCTTTATTCCATTCATTATATTACACTAGAATTATTATTACATGAATATCAAGTTATAATCTCATTTCATGGTGAATACTTATGAAGAGTGACATCATTTCATTTCGCTCTCTTGAAAGAATGGAGGACAGATAAAACATCTGCCTGAAATTTGAATCGGCTCTTCTGTTCATGTTTATTGGTTTTTTTGTGATTTAAAAAGAAATCCTAATATACTTCTGTAACATTCTGTCATTCTCCCTCTCTTACTTCCTGGTACTTGATTTTCTATCTCTCCGTCTCTGTATTTCCTTATCCTTTCCATTGTCTCCTTACCCATTAGCCTCTTCAGAAAATTTTTATCGTGTCCAACGTCACATGACCAGGGGGTACAACCTGTGATAAAAACTAAGGTCTGCCTTCTGTGACCTCATTAATTTTTTTTTTTTTTATCCTCACCCGAGGACATTTTTCCATTTTTTGTTCAGATAGAGTGGGAGGGAGAGAGAGGAAGAGAGAGAGAGAGAAACATCGTTGTGAAAGGACACATCGAGTGGCTGCCACCCACACGACCAACCAGGGCCGGGGACAAACTGCAACCGAGGTACGTGCCCTTAGCGGGAACCGAACCCGGGTCTCTCTGGACTGCAGGCGGACGCTCTGACCACTGAGCCAAACTGGCCAGGGCTGTGACCTCATTAATTACAGGTGGTCTTCTAGGCGAGGGGTTCTCAAAGTTCAGTCCCCAAGCAAGCAGCATTAGCATCTGGGAAATTACTAAAATACACAGTCCATCCCCACCCAGTTCTGAATCAGACACTCTGGCGGTGGGGCTCAGCAATCTGTATTTTAGTAAGCTCTCCGTGTGATTCTGATACACAGTTGAGAGCCACCGTTCTAGACCAGGGCTCCGCAGACGTTGGGCTGGTAATAAAGATTTTAGGCTCTGCAGGCTCTGTGATAATCTTTGTCACAATCCCTAACTCTGTCATTGCGATGCAGAAGCAGCAAGAGACAGGACATAAACAGTGGGGGTGGCTGTGTCCCAGACAACTTTGCTTAGAGAAATGGGACCTGGTCCCGCCCAGAGTTTGCTGGTCTCTGCCCTGTCCCCACGGGAATAACTGCTGGTCACTGTTCAGGGGCAACGTTAATGTGAAGGAAAGCACATGCATAATGGAATCGGACTCCCCTCGTTTTGAATTTCTATTTATATACTTACTGTGTTACTTTGGGAAAGTTCCTAACCTCTCTGAGCTTTAGTTTCTTAGACCTTGCAATGGAGGTAATAGTGCTTGCCTTAGACAGCTTTGAAAATTAAATGAGCTAATGCACGTGGCCTGGTGCCCGGCAGGTCGTAGGAATGGTGGTTAAACTGTAGCTGTACGCGAGCTTCATGTCCTTGGACTCTCTGATAAGGTGTGTTTTATTTGTGGAAAAAGAATTAAGGCTACGAAAAACACTTTTTTTTTTTCATTGAAAAGAGTGATTAAATTGGAACATATTATTCTTTTGCTTCTATAATTGGATTACTCGACTCCATATATGATCCATTTAGAATATGATGTCTACATTAAGGTTCAAGGAATCTCAACTTTTTGGGAATATAATTTCGAACCAAACTGCCTCAAGCGGCCGGTAACTATAGAAAGCCCATGTGTAATCCAAGCCCTCGCTAGAGCTTATTTATTTCATTTTATTTGCAGTTTTAAACTGGTTTTTCAAGGTTTCTCGATACACACTATATCAGAAGTCAAAATAAGGAAATGAAACAGCTGAGATAATGGAAAAGAAAATAATACTCTTTAAGGATGACACCTTTTTTTAAGTGAAACTGGATCCCAAAGTCAAAATTACAGCAATTAGAAGCTGTTTACTCAGTCATCAGCCTCCGGAGGCATCATTCTTTGAATTACAATGAAGAATACTAAATGCTCTTTTATAATAAAATTTAATTCTCCAGAAAAGATTAAATTAAACTTTGTTGTAGAGGCTTAGCAATAAAAGTTAGAAGATGCAAAGCTAAAATAAATCAGTTTCACTTAAGTTTTCTTAACGTGGAAGGTGTGACTTAGCACTGCCAGGTAAGGCGAGGCATGAGTTATATACTGCAGTAGCTCAGAGCCTGGGTTCAGTCACACTTGAATTCACATCCCTGCTTTGCCACTTGATGACTTTGTGACTTTTCTCAAATTACCTAATTGCTCAAAATATTAACTTCTGCATCTATTTAATGAGGTTAAAAAGATCAATTTAAGAAATTAAAATCAAGACTTTAAAGACTCTATGGTTGTAAGTATATGTATGTGAAACACTTATTACTCATTAAATATTTATAATTTGACAAGTATTAGCTATTATACTAAACCCATCATTATCAGAATACATGATCATTTTAATACGCATCTGGTGTCGGCAGGCAAATTTACCGGAAGTGCGCGTATATGCCAAAGGTAGGTCATCAAGTTCTGGGGGTTAATAAGGTGCCTCAGTAAGCATACTGATCGGTTTTCATGAGTATTTTATCACCACATTACGTATAAGAATGAAAATTAAATATATTAAGTCTTAAGATTAATCTTGTTGAATTCTGGACACAACTTGATGTTAGCTTTTCTCAATATTTTCATCTATATTAACATTTCAGTTTACTGAGTAATCTGTTCAGCCATTTCACTCCTTAATTTGGTCAAATTAATTTAGAAACTTTTTTTTTTAACCTCAGGAACCTCTGAAAGATGATGGAGAATTTGTGTATTGTCTCCCTCGGGAAAATCCTGAAGTCTTTTATAATCAGTATGATCTTCAGGTCGTCTCTGCCCACAGAGCCAGACATTGCAAAGAATTTTGGATGGTCACTGCTTCATTTGTTTCAAAGGTAACAGACAGCGAGGGGAAATCAAGTTTGGGTGTAGATGAGGTTGCGGAGGTCAGACAGAGAAAACGCTCAACTTTAAAGACCGTTAGTTCTGATCCAAACACAGGATGTCTTAATTTCTTGAAGATAGCACATATCTTTTTCAGAAATAAAAGTCATGTTTTTGTGCTTTATATTTGCAGGTTACCAAAAGCAGCGATGGAGAACAAGTAGAACTCATACCTGCTTTGGAATGGCTGTTAGAAAGGAGGTGTTACTGTTTATTACGGCAATTCAAGATCTTTTCCAATTTTCGGTGAGATGAATGAACCTGAAACCGATTATTTGTAATAGCAACTACCTGGATGACATCTGGATTTTGCTGTAGTAAAGCCTTATTTATGAGGAATTACAGAGGAAATGGGGCAGTCCATATACATTTTTAGATAAAGGATGCTTACCAACTTAAGTATTACAACTATCTCTTGATTTTCTTTTTGGATAAATATTGTAAGAAAAAGATATTTTAAAGTCAAGCAAACTTAAATGAACTAGAATGACCTTAATTCACCTTTTGTTTTTCCTGCGTTTATTTATTAAATGAATATTTATTGAGTCTGCTACAAACCAGGCATTATTCTAGATGGTGTTGAACAAACCAAACAGTGGTCCTCCCCTCAGAGAACTTAGATTACAGTGCGTGAAAGATAATAAAAAACACATATATATGCAGAATATCAGATAGAGATGAAACACTATAAAGGAAGATAAAACAAAGTTTAGGGAGCTTGGAGCAGCTTGTCAATTCAAGGTCATAATTTAAAAATGTGTCTAGTTCTAAGCTTCTATCACACCACGATTCCTGAGACTCTGAGATCCTTCACAAAGTAGTGTTTGTATCGAGTGTCAGTTTTTATTTCCTCTCTCATGTCTGTGTTTTCTTGTGGTCTGCTGCTATCTTCTGGGGACTAGGAAACCAGAGAAGTAATATTTTTAATTGTTACATTTCATATTGTAAATAGTTGAAACAACTAAGAACCTGAGGAACTTTTCTGTAAGAGAAGTGAGTGGATTTTGTGGCAGAAAAAGGGTTCACTTACTGAACCAGTACTTCCTGTGTCCCTGTTCTGTTGTGGGCCCTGGAGATACAACCGTGTGAGAAATACACACGGTCTCTGTGCCCAGGGAACTCGCAGTCTGGAGGGAGATAGATCCTAAGTACATAAATGAGAATTTCGGTGATAAGGGCCAGAAAGATACATAAGACAGAGAAATAAAACAGGTGTGTGTGTGGCTACTTGAAATAGGAAAAGGACATATCCAGGTGGGGTCTTGAGCAAGAGTCGTTCCAGACAGAAAACAGCAAGTTCAAAAGTGTTGGGGCAGGAACAGTTGAGTGTGTATTACGGTAAAAACGGTGTGACTGAAGTGTCGAAGAGGTTGGCAGCAGTGTGACCGCGGTGAGTGATAATTCTAAGAGGTTGCTTTTGCACAATACAGATTAGGTGCATCCCTGTAAATTAGACGCTAGTCATAGAGCCAGACGTTTCTGGTTCTGGACCGTTAGCCCTGAGTATTATTTTCCGTATCTGCTTGAACTTGAACTCTGTCAGTGTTGGACCGTCTAATCCCGGCCTTGCCTCTGGCCTCGCCGTAAAGCCTCGGGGTCCATTCTGCTCTGAATCGTTTTCATTACATAAACTTTTTATTTTTATTTTTATTTATTTATTTTTTTTATCCTCACCGGAGGACATTTTTCCTTTTTTTTTTTTTTGTTCAGGTAGAGTGGGAGGGAGAGAGAGGAACAAAGAGAGAGAGAGAAACATCGATGTGAAAGGAACACATCGAGTGGCTGCCACCCTCACAACCAACCAGGGCCGGGGACAAACTGCAACCGAGGTACATGCCCTTAGCGGGAACCGAACCCGGTCTCTCAGGACCGCAGGCCGACGCTCTAACCGCTGAGCCAAACTGGCCAGGGCTCATTACATAAACTTTTGACCCCTAATTGGAATTGGCCCAAGAGTCATCTTTTTCAAATGCCATCTAGTGAAAAGCATCCCTTTTTCTTTAGTCATGTTAAGAAGAATGGAACTTAAATTTTAGTCTGGTTAAAACTTGTAGTTTTATTTGATTTTTAATGCATTTTGTCAAGTTTTTGTCACTAATATTGCAACAAGTATTTCAGACGTAAAAATAAGATACATATGAAGTTAAGGACAAGCCAGCGTGGCAGGGGTGACCGGGAGCATCAGCATTAGCTTTGGACCATGGGACTTCTTGGAGCATTAGTTCTGTGGCCTGGAGCAGACACTCATGATGTCACTGGGTTCCCCTAGAAATCATCTGGGTTTCCAGGGCTCTTCCAGAGTCTTGAGGTGCCGTGACCCTCTGGGTCTGAACTAAAGTGAGAGAGGAGCTTGCTGAGAAAGCCTCTTTGGAGGCTGATTTAAGGTCAAGTTACTGGATTTATCTGAGGCATTTCTGATTTCCGTGGCCTCGGGGGTGCCTGTGTGAAGGACAGCCTGGGACTCTTTTTGAACTGCTTGGGTGGCTCTGTCTTTGATTCAGAATCAGCCAGTGTCGTCACTAAGATTGGCTGGTTGGCTGGCCTCTTGGGTGCTCCTCTTCCCAGAGTTTTCCCTCCCCCACCAGCTCCTACAGCTACAGAAGGAATCTCACTTTGGCAGATAAGGATCACAGCACATCTCAGTGTTTGTTAGGAGTGTTTTCATCAAGGTGGAAATGTACCGAGATGTGTAATGTGGCCTTAGTCCCACAAGTGCATGAAACAGGTGGCAAAATGCACTCAGAGGAGCAGAGGGAGATTTTGGAAACAGTTGACATGTCTATTTTGTGTGTGAGAGCCAAGCGTGATGAGTAATCACCAGGGGAACTTTTCAGTTCCTTCTCAGCTAGGTTGTTTGAGTTCTTAAAATTACAAGTAAATTTTTTTAGAAAGCCATAAATATAAAATATTATCAAAATGGCATACCTTATCTTAATTTTTTACTTATCACTATACAGTGATTTCTTATCAGTGTTCCTTTTCATTATCACTGAAAATTGAGTCTTGACTGTTCCTGAAATGTAAATCTCTTTTACAAATAGTGAGCCAATAAATGCATAATGGAAAAGAATGTATTTTTTTTTAGTTTTTATGTTTATTGGAATGTTGTAGCTAAGTTGATTGTGCATCTATGAGAATTATAATGACTTTCCCTTACATTTACATTTTTCTCTATATTCTGTTGATTGGAGAAAAGTGATTGGTGTTTGCTTTCGGTAACTCAGGATGGATGAGGCGCGAGAGAATTTTCTAGGATTACTAAGTCTTTACTACAGTTATGTAATTACGATTTATGAATGTAGAATGTAAGAAGTATTTTTCTTTTCAGAATTAATAAAGCATTTGTTACTTGGAAATTGAATGTTAAAAGAATTAAGATGGAGAGAAGCAGGTAAGTGTTGGTATGCAATATATGTATAGAAATTTCAAGAGGAAGCATTATTTTAAATATGTAGTATGAAAGCAGATATAAATTAATTTTCACTCAATGATTAGAAGTCACATTCCATAACCTTTATGATTAAATTTAATCCATCTAATTTTTTAAAGACTATTAATATTTTTATATATTAAACATGTTATATGTGTGTATATAAATATATGTGTGTATATAAATGTGTATGTATATGTTTATGTATATATAAATGTATATATGTTTATATGAATGTGTATATATGTGTGTATGTGTGTGTGTATAAAATGTGTATGTATATATGTGTGTGTATATATAAATGTATATATGTGTATATAAATGTGTGTATGTGTGTGTATATAAATGGGTATGTATATATGTGTGTATATATGTGTATATAAATGTGTGTATATATGTGTGTGTGTATATGTGTGTGTGTGTATGCATTTATTATATATGCATATATATGAAACGCATAGTAGTATATTTCCCAGTCTGCCTTCTGTGCTGTGAGGATGTCATCATGTTCTGAAGAACCTGTGATGAGTTCCTTTGGACACTTGGTCTAACTTTTTGCTTTTTAAAAGGGGAATGGTTAAGTAATCCAAGATGACAGTTACTTCTGTTTTGTAGGATAGCCAAGTTTTATTGCTGCTGTTGTTATTAAACGTTTTACTTTGACATTGTTGTGTTTGAAATGCAGTTGTAAGAAATGATACGGAGACCTCCATGTACCCTTTACCCAGTTTCCCCTGGTGGTAACATCTTGCAAACCTACAGTAAAATACGACAACGGGGACAGTGACACTGATATAACAAAGACACACGACACTGCTGTCACCACGGACCCCTCATGTGGCCCTTTCGTAGCCGTCCTCATTGCTCCACTCCCACCCTCCTTCCTGTGCCGAGAACTGACCTGTCCTCCATTTCTATGACTGTGTCTTTTCAAGAATGTTCTGTACGCGTAACTCTCTGGAGAGTCATGTAGGTTGCTGTGTACCTAAACTGTTCCCTTTTATTGCTGAGCAGCAGTCCATGGTGTGAACACGCCACTGTTTAACCATTTACCTGCCGAAGTACACCTGAGTGTTTTCCAGTTTCTGTTTATTACAGACAACGTTGCTGTAAACATTTATATACAGGTTTTGGTGTGAATGTGTTTTTATTTCTCTGGGAAGAATGCCCAGGAGTGCAATTGCTGGGTTACGTGGCAATTGCATGTTTAGATTTTAAGAAGCTACGAGGGTGTTGCCAAGTGATTGTGCCATGTTCTCATCCCCTCAGCAGTGTGTAAGTGGGTCCGTTTCTCCACGTTCATGCCACGGTTTGGAGCTGTTGCTATTTTATATTTTAAACATTCTGATGTGTATGTAGTAATATCTCATTGTGCCTTTAATTCGCATGACTAATGATCTTGAATATCTTTTTATGTGCTCATTTACCACCTATACATTTTCTTTGAAACAACTCTACATGTCTTTTGTACATTTTCTAATCGGATTGTTTGTCTTGGTACTGTTGAATTTATATTCTAGATAAGGTTCTTTGTTAGATACATGGTTTATAAGTGTTTTCTCCCCACCTTTGGCATGTCTTTTTTGTTCTACAAGAATATTTATTTAGCATCTACTACATGCCAGGCATTAGGCTAGTGGTTAACTCGCTCCTCGAAGCTAGAAAGCAACTCTGGCCTTGCTGGTTTACTGATTTGGGCGGGTTTTCATGTAGAGATCTGGGCTTTTACTCAACAACTTCCCTGTATTAATGTATAGCTTTTAGTTTGGCTCAGTGGTTAGAGCGTTGGCCTGCGGACCAGAGTCCTGGGTTCAGTTCCT